AGTTGCTTTACGGATAAAAAAACTTGTGTTTCAAACTTGGATAAAATATGTTGTTATTTTATGATATTAATATTAAAACTCGAATCAAGTCACGGATCGAATCGAAATCCAAACTGTGATTTAAAACCTTAAACATAGCATCGTAGTGTTAACCTTACTCCCCATAATAATAATATGTCTATGTACTAGATTCTGATCAACAGGTTACTACTACCTTAACCTCGCAAATACATTTATTTGGGATACAAGAAATCAAGTTACTATGCCTTGCTGAAAATGAACTTTGTTAGAAAAAGGTCCTAATGATAGATATTTGATAGATTAAGAAATTGAAAGGTATTTAAATATAATGAATGCTAGTGGACAAAATAAAAATAATATAGCTATAAATTCGAATTTAGTAATATGTAATTATTATTTCATGATTCTGGGACATACCAAATTCAAATGTGATGGTAGTTTTGAATTGATCAAAAAACTCTGTGGAAAAAAACAAGTGTAAATTGCGTGAATCATGTTGTGGATGTTCTAAAAGATTTAGCACCGCAGGTTTGAATAAAGCTCAATGCTATAAAGGCGGAAAAAACTTTTTTTTGATATCAAATCAAGTTTGGTTTACTTTAAAAGGTTGATGGCGTTCAAAAATTTCATCATTTTCTTTTCACAGTCTCTAATCCTGGTATTGTGAAAATTCAAGAGATCGTTAATGGTCACTTTCATGAATTTAAGCTATTGAAGGAAGACAATATAATAACAACAATGATCATAATAATTATTCATAATCATAATCATAATAATGATCATAATAATTTATCTAATCATTAATTATTTAATTATTTAGATATATTTATACAGGTATAATTGATTTAACAAATTTACAATTATCAAATATTTTGGATCTTTTATTAATAGCTGATGAATTATTACTTGATGAATTGATTGATGAGATCCAAAATTATCTTGTTAGAACCAAGTCTACCTATATTGAAGATAAAATGTCGATTGTTTTTCAACTAGTCGTAAAACTTAAATCATGCAACAAATGGTGGTGATAATGAAAAAAAATCATTATTCTATAGGAAACCAAATATTTCGCCTTATCTGTTTGAAATTATTCTAGAGTAAGAAAAAAGACAATATAATAACAACAATGATCATAATAATTATTCATAATCATAATCATAATAATGATCATAATAATTTATCTAATCATTAATTATTTAATTATTTAGATATATTTATACAGGTATAATTGATTTAACAAATTTACAATTATCAAATATTTTGGATCTTTTATTAATAGCTGATGAATTATTACTTGATGAATTGATTGATGAGATCCAAAATTATCTTGTTAGAACCAAGTCTACCTATATTGAAGATAAAATGTCGATTGTTTTTCAACTAGTCGTAAAACTTAAATCATGCAACATGCTACAAAATCATTTATTAGAAATAATTAGTCTCAATATAAGTCAGTACATTGAATCAGATGATTTTTTGACATTGGAGTATTCAGCTGTTGAGTTGATCTTGAAACGTGATGATTTGAATGTTCAAGAGGTTGATCTATGGAATTTTTTGATAAATTGGGGAATGGCTAATTCTAACAGATTGTATGATGATGAACTTGATAAATGGACAACTGCTGATTATGAAGAGTTGCAGTCACAAATTAAAAATTTGATTTGTTTAATCCGTTTTACCACAATGAAAAGTCATGAATACTCTCGAAATGTCTATCCTTATAGAAAATTGTTGCCTAAACAATTGAAAAACCAGTTGTATTTGCATTTTTTGGATAGTGAACACCAGACAACTGAAGAAAAATCACTGATACCATTATCACCTCGTACCTTACCACCTCAACCACAAATCAACTCATTATACATCAACAATCATGCTGCTTCATTGATTGAAAGTTACATTAAATGTAAAGAAAATCACAATACAAAGTCTTGTTATATGGAATATAATTGGCAGTTGATTTATAGAGCAAGTCGAGATGGTTATAGTGCTCATAGTTTTCATAAAAAGTGTGATAGCAAAGGTGCATGTGTTATTGTCTCTAAAATACTTGGTGAGGAGGCTGATATTATTGGTGGCTACAATTCTGGTAAGAAAACATCATTGATGAGTAGGCCTTTTTTATTTTAATTTAATAATTATTATCACTCCCTCCTAAAAATAGTTGGATGGCTTGAATCCAATGGAACATATTCAAGTTGTGATGATAGCTTTATCTTTAATTTCAATGAAGATTTATCAATAAAAAATTTGAGTAGAGTATTGACTTATTGCTCCTCAAAAGCAATATATCAATATTCAGAAACAGGTCCAACTTTTGGAGCTGATGATTTTACAATAGGTGACAATCTAAAAAATTCAAAGTGTAATACTGACTTCTATTATGAAGATACTATATGCCTAGATGTTATTCAAGTTCTAGATTATGAAGTGTTTAGAATCACCAAAAATGGGTAATATTATTATTGTTATGATTGTTGTAACTTCCATTACTATTATTATTGTTAATTAATTTTTTCTTTTTTAAATCATATTAATTTTAGTTGATTGATTAAACATATATTCTTGTACATTTGTGCATTTGTTAGATGGATAGATAGATTGATATATAAATTTTTGTATATCTTCTCATTCTATAACAACAATAATAAATAATTGTTATTAATTAATGTTGTTAGATTACACCCTAGCTTATAATTTTTCTTTTTAGAGATTTTAATCTTCTTTACTTTATGGTATGACTTCTGAATGTGGTAAATTATCATTCATTAGTTGATTTACTTTTGATGTTCTTTATTACTAATACTAACCAGTATGACACCCCCCTAATGTCAAATAAAATTTTATTTGAATAAAATGAATAAAACAGATAAAATGGAACAACTCACCCAATAAATAAATAATTGTAATAGTGTATATATATATATGTATATATGCACATCACTAATTCAACCATTTTTCTTCATCAGTTCTGTTTCCTACATAGTCCTTGTCGAGTGGCAAAGAATGATTAGCATTTTATTATTTATTTATTATTATTATGTGGTTCTTAAACAAGTCATTGAAGTATTTGTATAGTAATAAATTACAAATATTAAATGGAAAAATCTTTTTGTAAAAAAAAGTAAAATAATGAATAGTTAGAAAACTTTTTTGGTAACAACAGGATCATTTGTAAATTAATGTAAATGTTGTTCTACAGGGTCAAGGCCATGTATAAAGCAATTCATGCAAACAGTTGACTAATTCTTTTGTCCTGGCTACATCATTATTATCAAATTTATCTTTTCCTGTCAAACAAGGACATAGAGTTTCACTTCTTCCAATTGCAACTAATGATATCTGGTGTTTTTGTCTGTAAAATTTCCTTTTTAGTCTTATTTTTTTTTAAAAAATTTTCTTCACCCCATAACTTCTTTTGGAAGTTTCTGTTGTGATTATGTCATTATTCAAAATTCCTTTGCTAGACTCAATGAACTGCATTCTAATCCTAGTTGGATATGGATATCCTCATCAATTTCTGAAAATATAGGTGTCAGTTTTGATGCAGTTGACTCTGCAAATTTATCATCATGTTTTCTGTTTTTGATAGATAGGAGAATATAAGAAAAAAGCCCTCATCAAGAAAATAGCCACCTTCTTTCTTCAGCAGTGCAGGTATTATAATATCAATCCCTTTCTGATTCCATTTGTATATTATTGCAGTGCCACAAAGTAAAAATTGATTTTTTTTGTTGGTGTGTATGTAATGGCCACAAAGCTTGTGAAGAAAATCTTGGCATCAGCCAAGTTTTCAACATCATTTTGATTGAAAAGAATGACTGCTAAACAATCCATATCATCATCTGAAATTTCTTGCTGCTTTTTTGCTCCATTACAAATTTAACAAAGTCAATTCCAAATAAATTTAGCAATGAATGAATAATAATCGATAATAGTACCAAGCTCACAAATGTGTACACAAATATCCCAAGCCCTCCCTTATCAATATAATATGTGCACCAAGTTCACCACAAAAGCCTGCCTCCGCACACAGCTTTCATAAGGTCATCAAGCAGCATACAAACAGGAAAGCTTTCTATCAATTCTGCAGCTGCTTCTATTAAGATTGGTTCTATCAGATAATTGCTGGTCACCAGTATTTGATCATGTGAAACAAACCACACACATGCATAGTCTAGCAACCAACTCAGTTGACAATTGAAAAAGTGGTGATACATTAAAAGAAATGTGGATAGCAAGAATTGCCAATGTTGATGCATGGTCAAGTTTCTCAACACCCTCAATAACTTTTCCTCCTAAAATTTTGTTATATGCAAGTTGAACAAGCCTTTGAAGATGGGTTTCCATTTCTTCATGTCCTCATTTTCAATATGAGCACCCCACATTGGCTGACCATACTGCCCTATAAAAAATAACATATGGTAAAACAGTATGTGAATCGTATTGTTTTACAGAATAGGTATGGAAAATGTATGGAATCTTCCTGTTAAATGTGCCAAAATGTACAGAATTTGTGTGGGTTAGATACAGAGTAGGTGTGAAGTAGTGGACTGCATATGAAACATGCATGGAATACACATGGTTTTTACAGAAAACACACAGAATTTTTTTTTCTCATATGTTTCCCATATGAATTACATGATGTGCTAATGTGAAATTCATGCAGAAAACGTACAGGAAAAACAAATTCTGTAAAAACCATGTGTATTCCGTGTGTGTTTTGTATGCAGTCTGCACCTACTTCACACCTACTCTGTATCTAACCCACACAAATTCTGTACATTTTGGCACATTTAACAAGAAGATTCCATACATTTTCCATACCTATTCTGTAAAACAATACAGTTCACATACTGTTTTACTGTACAAATTCCATACAGTTTTCCATGCATTTTCCATACCAAATTTTTTATAGGGCAGTATGGTCAGCCAATGTGGGGTGCTCATATTGAAAATGAGGACATGAAGAAATGGAAACCCATCTTCAAAGGCTTGTTCAACTTGCATATAACAAAATTTTAGGAGGAAAAGTTATTGAGGGTGTTGAGAAACTTGACCATGCATCAACATTGGCAATTCTTGCTATCCACATTTCTTTTAATGTATCACCACTTTTTCAATTGTCAACTGAGTTGGTTGCTAGACTATGCATGTGTGTGGTTTGTTTCACATGATCAAATACTGGTGACCAGCAATTATCTGATAGAACCAATCTTAATAGAAGCAGCTGCAGAATTGATAGAAAGCTTTCCTGTTTGTATGCTGCTTGATGACCTTATGAAAGCTGTGTGCGGAGGCAGGCTTTTGTGGTGAACTTGGTGCACATATTATATTGATAAGGGAGGGCTTGGGATATTTGTGTACACATTTGTGAGCTTGGTACTATTATCGATTATTATTCATTCATTGCTAAATTTATTTGGAATTGACTTTGTTAAATTTGTAATGGAGCAAAAAAGCAGCAAGAAATTTCAGATGATGATATGGATTGTTTAGCAGTCATTCTTTTCAATCAAAATGATGTTGAAAACTTGGCTGATGCCAAGATTTTCTTCACAAGCTTTGTGGCCATTACATACACACCAACAAAAAAAATCAATTTTTACTTTGTGGCACTGCAATAATATACAAATGGAATCAGAAAGGGATTGATATTATAATACCTGCACTGCTGAAGAAAGAAGGTGGCTATTTTCTTGATGAGGGCTTTTTTCTTATATTCTCCTATCTATCAAAAACAGAAAACATGATGATAAATTTGCAGAGTCAACTGCATCAAAACTGACACCTATATTTTCAGAAATTGATGAGGATATCCATATCCAACTAGGATTAGAATGCAGTTCATTGAGTCTAGCAAAGGAATTTTGAATAATGACATAATCACAACAGAAACTTCCAAAAGAAGTTATGGGGTGAAGAAAATTTTTTAAAAAAAAATAAGACTAAAAAGGAAATTTTACAGACAAAAACACCAGATATCATTAGTTGCAATTGGAAGAAGTGAAACTCTATGTCCTTGTTTGACAGGAAAAGATAAATTTGATAATAATGATGTAGCCAGGACAAAAGAATTAGTCAACTGTTTGCATGAATTGCTTTATACATGGCCTTGACCCTGTAGAACAACATTTACATTAATTTACAAATGATCCTGTTGTTACCAAAAAAGTTTTCTAACTATTCATTATTTTACTTTTTTTTACAAAAAGATTTTTCCATTTAATATTTGTAATTTATTACTATACAAATACTTCAATGACTTGTTTAAGAACCACATAATAATAATAAATAAATAATAAAATGCTAATCATTCTTTGCCACTCGACAAGGACTATGTAGGAAACAGAACTGATGAAGAAAAATGGTTGAATTAGTGATGTGCATATATACATATATATATATACACTATTACAATTATTTATTTATTGGGTGAGTTGTTCCATTTTATCTGTTTTATTCATTTTATTCAAATAAAATTTTATTTGACATTAGGGGGGTGTCATACTGGTTAGTATTAGTAATAAAGAACATCAAAAGTAAATCAACTAATGAATGATAATTTACCACATTCAGAAGTCATACCATAAAGTAAAGAAGATTAAAATCTCTAAAAAGAAAAATTATAAGCTAGGGTGTAATCTAACAACATTAATTAATAACAATTATTTATTATTGTTGTTATAGAATGAGAAGATATACAAAAATTTATATATCAATCTATCTATCCATCTAACAAATGCACAAATGTACAAGAATATATGTTTAATCAATCAACTAAAATTAATATGATTTAAAAAAGAAAAAATTAATTAACAATAATAATAGTAATGGAAGTTACAACAATCATAACAATAATAATATTACCCATTTTTGGTGATTCTAAACACTTCATAATCTAGAACTTGAATAACATCTAGGCATATAGTATCTTCATAATAGAAGTCAGTATTACACTTTGAATTTTTTAGATTGTCACCTATTGTAAAATCATCAGCTCCAAAAGTTGGACCTGTTTCTGAATATTGATATATTGCTTTTGAGGAGCAATAAGTCAATACTCTACTCAAATTTTTTATTGATAAATCTTCATTGAAATTAAAGATAAAGCTATCATCACAACTTGAATATGTTCCATTGGATTCAAGCCATCCAACTATTTTTAGGAGGGAGTGATAATAATTATTAAATTAAAATAAAAAAGGCCTACTCATCAATGATGTTTTCTTACCAGAATTGTAGCCACCAATAATATCAGCCTCCTCACCAAGTATTTTAGAGACAATAACACATGCACCTTTGCTATCACACTTTTTATGAAAACTATGAGCACTATAACCATCTCGACTTGCTCTATAAATCAACTGCCAATTATATTCCATATAACAAGACTTTGTATTGTGATTTTCTTTACATTTAATGTAACTTTCAATCAATGAAGCAGCATGATTGTTGATGTATAATGAGTTGATTTGTGGTTGAGGTGGTAAGGTACGAGGTGATAATGGTATCAGTGATTTTTCTTCAGTTGTCTGGTGTTCACTATCCAAAAAATGCAAATACAACTGGTTTTTCAATTGTTTAGGCAACAATTTTCTATAAGGATAGACATTTCGAGAGTATTCATGACTTTTCATTGTGGTAAAACGGATTAAACAAATCAAATTTTTAATTTGTGACTGCAACTCTTCATAATCAGCAGTTGTCCATTTATCAAGTTCATCATCATACAATCTGTTAGAATTAGCCATTCCCCAATTTATCAAAAAATTCCATAGATCAACCTCTTGAACATTCAAATCATCACGTTTCAAGATCAACTCAACAGCTGAATACTCCAATGTCAAAAAATCATCTGATTCAATGTACTGACTTATATTGAGACTAATTATTTCTAATAAATGATTTTGTAGCATGTTGCATGATTTAAGTTTTACGACTAGTTGAAAAACAATCGACATTTTATCTTCAATATAGGTAGACTTGGTTCTAACAAGATAATTTTGGATCTCATCAATCAATTCATCAAGTAATAATTCATCAGCTATTAATAAAAGATCCAAAATATTTGATAATTGTAAATTTGTTAAATCAATTATACCTGTATAAATATATCTAAATAATTAAATAATTAATGATTAGATAAATTATTATGATCATTATTATGATTATGATTATGAATAATTATTATGATCATTGTTGTTATTATATTGTCTTTTTTCTTACTCTAGAATAATTTCAAACAGATAAGGCGAAATATTTGGTTTCCTATAGAATAATGATTTTTTTTCATTATCACCACCATTTCTACCACCATCACTACTGCCTGCATCTTCCTTTCCTTTTGCCTTCTCTTCTGGTTGTTGTTGAACCCAATTTTGTGACAAAGCAGTGACAAAATATTCAGATCGTGCACAAAGAATTATCGAATGAGCTTTGAATTCTTTGTTATTTTGATCATCGCCAGCTAAAATTATTATATCATAATTTTTTCCTGTTTTACGAAGTTTATTTAAATCTTTAGATAATCGAGTAGTCATTTTATATATTGTTATTTACACGCATACAAAGATTCAAAATTTTTTATTTTATTAATATATATTAGTCGCGGGACATTGCAGATCAAATGTCATTCAATATAAACGTTACACGAATAAAATTATTATCGTCCACTTCAAAAAAAAAATTCACTGTTTTTCATATAGCAAACGGTTTTCAACCATAATAAAATTTTTAGAGCCAGACTAGAACTTTCTAACGACAGTTAAAAGAAAAGGTTAGCTTAAATATTGGTTATTCTACGCTAAGTCAGAAGCGTTTCTTTTCTTCACACTTATTTTAAGATTATCGCTCAACTAGTATGTAGACTAAAACAAATTCAGCGGCAACAATTGTGCCAAAGTGTTCCCTACAAAATCACTTATAACTACTTGAAAGGTTGCGTTAGAAAAATTTTGACTTTAATTATAAGAGACTGATTTATAATTATTTATAGGTTATTAATTGATTATAATATTAATTGATGGAATGAAACTATCATAGCAACACTATAATAGAAATGTTTAAAAGTTAAGTAGCCTATTACTAGCTTGTATATAAAAAACAAATCTTGGTTTTTACAAGTACAATCTGTGCTTATTATTAATATTATTTATTAATATATTGTTACGCGATCATCTAGATCTTATATACATCGGAATTAATGAGAGTGAATATAACAAACAAACCTTGGTTTTTACAAGTATAATCTGTGCTTATTATTAATATTATTTATTAAATATGTAAATAAAAATCCTTCTAAATCGTTATACTTTATCAATTATTTGTAGTTATATAGCAGTTGATTGAAGTGTTAAAAGCAAGGTCTATGAAGCTTGTTATATATATATGTATGTATGTATGTATAATTAAAACCGTTAATAATCATTAATGAAACTTTAATCAAAAATCAACAAATCTTTCTTTGAGTTAACTGACATTTTGTTAATAGAAAGAAGTCCATTATACGAATTCATTTTTGTTTGAAAATATTAAATAAATATTACCAAGTTAATAAATTTGCTTGGTACAACTTTCTAATTCACCCAGTGATATATATATTATAAAAAAAATTAGTACTTTTCTATAAACAAATTCTATGTAGATGTTGTACGTGAAAATGAAATTATGTAAATTTGAATTTCACATATGTAAATTTGAATTTCACATGTGTGAATTGCGAATTCACATAATTTCATTTTCACGTACAACATAGATATGCAATGTCCTGCGACTGTTATTGGATGTTATTTAATGATCTTTGTGTTACATGAGAGAGATAATTATACAAGACCCTGCTCGGGTAATTTTAGTGGAAGAGTGGGTGGTATGAAAATCTAATAATAATTTTTGAAAACTTTACCCACTTTTTAGGAACAAAGTGCACTTGCTGTACATATGCAGTAAAAACATTAACACTCTTTAAATAGTTCAACAATGAACTTTGATTCAGATGTATTAGATTTTTGGAAGATAAAGAACCAAATATATAATGTCAACACCCATAATTTATTAAATGTCTATCTTATAGCTACATGATGTTGAATACCCAAACCTTGTAATTATTCCTGATATTTTTTTATGAAAAAATATGGATCATTGCTGATTTGATGAATTTATTCCAAAATAAGTTCAAGTATTTCATAGAGCATGTTTTTTCTAGGGGGCTGGTATGGTTTCTCATAGATGCTACAATTTAAAACCAGAGACCATTGGAACATCTATGTGTTTAAAAGTCTGGTGGCAATTAAAGAATAAAATATTTTTTATTCCCTTGTATGTAATCAATATTATTTACCATGAATTTTGCTATCAATTTATCGGTTTGGTTTACCCATCAAACCTGTCTAATGCTTCAAATACAGTAATTGGTTTTTATAATTTTGGGTTTCAGAGGGATTAAAATATATATTTTTCAAATCTTCACTCATATGAGTTGGTTGGGGAAACCCAAAGTCTATCTTAATGTTTTTTATAATTGCCACAATTACTGCTCTTTTTCATTTAGTAGCTGAACCATAAAGTTAATCTCATTGATGATATGTGACAAATAAGTTATTTATAGAATTCGCTGGGATCGCACAACTCTACATACTAATAGCATATAATAATTATTAGCCTAACAATTTGCGTATTAAATAAAAGTTACTCTACAACCAAAAATAACTCAACTATATATATTTCAAGCTGATTTGATTTGAACCGTCACGATTGATGCATTTGAAAAAGAGCGTTTCTATATACACTTTTAAAACTTTGGCCTTAAGTTACACAAAGATATCAAGTAAATACGATTTACGTGTTAAGCAAAAGTTGCTTTACGGATAAAAAAACTTGTGTTTCAAACTTGGATAAAATATGTTGTTATTTTATGATATTAATATTAAAACTCGAATCAAGTCACGGATCGAATCGAAATCCAAACTGTGATTTAAAACCTTAAACATAGCATCGTAGTGTTAACCTTACTCCCCATAATAATAATATGTCTATGTACTAGATTCTGATCAACAGGTTACTACTACCTTAACCTCGCAAATACATTTATTTGGGATACAAGAAATCAAGTTACTATGCCTTGCTGAAAATGAACTTTGTTAGAAAAAGGTCCTAATGATAGATATTTGATAGATTAAGAAATTGAAAGGTATTTAAATATAATGAATGCTAGTGGACAAAATAAAAATAATATAGCTATAAATTCGAATTTAGTAATATGTAATTATTATTTCATGATTCTGGGACATACCAAATTCAAATGTGATGGTAGTTTTGAATTGATCAAAAAACTCTGTGGAAAAAAACAAGTGTAAATTGCGTGAATCATGTTGTGGATGTTCTAAAAGATTTAGCACCGCAGGTTTGAATAAAGCTCAATGCTATAAAGGCGGAAAAAACTTTTTTTTGATATCAAATCAAGTTTGGTTTACTTTAAAAGGTTGATGGCGTTCAAAAATTTCATCATTTTCTTTTCACAGTCTCTAATCCTGGTATTGTGAAAATTCAAGAGATCGTTAATGGTCACTTTCATGAATTTAAGCTATTGAAGGAAGACATAAGTTTCCATAATCATTTCCCATGGTGAAATCACTCCATTTGTTTTACGACACCAATGAATAATTATTACAAATAAAAGAAAAAAACCACATGTAGAGATGGATAATTTGAAATATGTACGCGTGATGATGCACATACTTCCTTCAGATATTATTTAGAAATTCTTTTTTCAAGTGATTCTAAACTCTTGTTATAAAATTAATGAAGAGGAAGTCAATGATGATGAATTGTATTTATTTATTGAGAATTGATACAATCAGCCAAGTTTAAGAATTTAGTGCAAAACAACAGAAATTGTAAAGATTGTCAAAATAAAAACAGCAATTAGTTAAGTCTGCTAAACCAACTAACTGGATTAGTTTTAAGGTTAGTAAGGGGTTTTGGACTGTTGCTAAATCTAGTAAGAGGAGATAAAAAGATTTATATGAACGTAGCCAAAACTCAATTAATCAAGAGTGAAGTAGCAAAAATAAATATTGGAAAAATTCAGTAGATTATCCTAAATCGAAAACTTTAAAAGCGAATTATTAAAAGAAAGCAACAACGACCAAGAAATCGTTAAATAAATGACTGAAAATGTAACTATTTACACTTCTTTAACGACCTTCACATCTTGTATAGTGCAAGACACCTAGTCCCACAACTTTTTATTGTCCTTGTAGATCCTTCTCTAACTCCAAAAATGGAAATGTAACACACAAAAAATAAGCCGTAATTTTGAAGCTAAGACCTTTCTCTACAAAGTTACGATTTCATTTTGTTGATATGTCACAGC